CACCTGGGATCAACAGGTCTCCCTGTTTTTATTTTTATTTGTAATGATCATTTCAAATAACCCAGTCCCAGGTGATATATCTACAATACAACTCCTGCACGTAAGGCTCAGGGAATATCTCAGAAGGGAAAGGTGGGAAATTCCTAAGAGCCAGAGGAGCAGGAAATCTGCTGTGAGACTAAAGCTTCTAGAAATGACAGGGCAGCCTCCACCATGCTTCCTCAATATGGCTGCACAAACAAGACCAGCAGGATCCACAATAGCCATGCCAACGTGGGAGGGGGAGATCTCACGGCGCCCCAACCCTAGATGAAGAACTACAGGCAACTAAGGGATGCTGAGAGCAAGACAATTATTCCTTCCCAGCAATCAGCTCCCTAATTCATTTCCATTTTATTACAACAAGACCTCCTCCCTTGGTGGACCAGGCTGACTATGAACTCACAGTGGTCCTGCCTCTGCCTCTGAGTGCTGGCGAGATAGGCGTCTACCATGGTGCTGACTCAAGGCGTCCCGCTTTTGAAAGATAAGTCAGAAACGCAGATGTTTTCCATTGGATTTTGAAATTTTTGGTAATCTCACCAGTTTTTATTATTATTTTTTATTAAAATCGTGTGGTATTAATAAGATGGGCTAGACTCAGCCCACAGGTTCCCTAAACGCCCAACAGAGCAGGATCGCCCACGGTCCTCTAAGTTTCGTAAGAGTGATGCAGCCTCATTCTTTTGTGGAAAAAGATAAAGGTGACTAGCCTGTTGCCATTAGTCACATGGCTGCCTCAGACTCCCACAGGGATGGCAGGCAGGTCTCAGGAGGGAACATGACCTCAAGGGCTGAAAATAATGGCCTGGAGAAGGCAGAGAAAAAGAGGAGGAAGGGGAAGGAGGAAGAGAGAGGACAAAGAAAGAGAAACATAAGGAGGGGATGAGAGAGAAGAAAGAAGGAAGAAGAGGGAGAAAGGATTTAGTCTACAACATAACTATAAGCCAGTTCTTCAGAATTCCCTTTTCACGCGTATCTAATGTTCCACCGATCCAGTATCAATTTGCTTTGAGGAGAGAGGCAGAAGGGAGGGAGAGAGAAACAGATGAGCATCAACACTCCCAATCCTCCATGTCTCTGACCTCTCCCCTTCCCAGCCTGGCCCTCTTGGGGTCAGGGACCTCCCTTATGGAATGCTCCTTTGGCCTCTGCTAACAGGACACCACGGAAGCCTCTCCCTGGTGGAAAAGTTGGTCTCTCAGCCTCTGCAGCTGGCCTTGGACATCCAAAGCTCATTTCCTGGCTGTCTCTGTGGTCTGCAACACTGCCTCCCATGTTTTTCCATAGAGGCCTCTTTTGAATCTGGGTCTCTACTCCCCCTAGCAAAGTTTCCCAAATCCAACACATCGTGTTCTGTTTTCTCAGGGTGGGGCTCCATGTTTTGGTCATGGTCTTAACTTGATTGATCTTTGAAGGTGGTAGAGTGAGGGGGGGGGGCATCTCCTCTGTGTCCTGTATTCGCTGTATCCAATTACAGCCTTTCTGTGTGTGTGTGTGTGTTTGTGTGTGTGTGTGTGTGTGTGTGTGTGTGTGTGTGAGTGAGTGTGTGTGAAATTCAGGTTTCTGCATTTGCAGCCTCCCGTTTTAAATGTCAGTAATTAAAAACATAACTATATAGGTAGAATGAATGATAGAGTATAAAAACAACTAGACAGGATATAATTAAACATAAACATAGAATGACCACAGAATATAATTATATGCATAAAATATATTTATAAATCTAGCATCCCTTAGAAAAATCTCTACTTGCTATATTTCCATGTTTTTGTTATGGAATAAACATTGTTTTTAAAAATTCCATTATGGGGGCTGGAGAGACGGCTCAGTGGGTAAAGCATTGCCTGTTCTTGCCGAAGGACATGGGTTCAATTCCCAGCACCCACATGTCAGTTCACAACCATCCATAACTCTAGTCCCAGGGGATCTGATGCCGTATTCCGACTTCCACAGACATCAGGCACACATACGGTATGCAGACATACATGTGGGCAAAACATGCCTACATGTAAAATTTTCTTTTAAAAACTCCATTGTGAATACATATCATTTTTTGACTGGCCCAGCAAAGATGGAGAATGACATTCCTGCCATGACCCAGAGGTTGCAGAAGTCCTTCGTAAGCCACTACGTAAATAATGACTTGTCATTGCCTGCTTTACATGCCAAGTAGAGCCGTGAAGCCTGGGGCTAGACTGAAGTCGGCATCCCAGTGGCCTGGAAGGAAACGAGGTAGCAACCCAGCTTGAAATTTTTCTCAAGTTTCCAGTCCTTCGTTACAAACATCATCTATAAAAGGGCATGTTTATAAACTTTTACAAAGTGGCCTGTAATCTTGGCGAATGCCATTTATGGGTTTGGATCCACCAACCTCAGAGCGTCCTAGGTCGTCCTGGGGAGCAGAGGGCTGTGAATCAGGACCTGGGCTGTGAGAGGGTCTCAGATGAGTGTGGGGGGTCAGTCCCCTCTCTGGATTCTCCCTTCTACTCCTGGCTTCCCTATCGAGTGGGAACCTGGGTTAAATGGGCTCTCGTTACAGCTATTATAATTCTGCTGCAATGACAGCCCATGGTCACAGCCACAGGGAGACTCAGAAGGTGTTGACACTCCAAAGGACCTCATACCGTTTTTGAGATTTCTAAAACTAAGCGTGCCCTCATACGGTAGATACAAGAATCCAGAAGCTATCTGGTGACCTGGGCCAGTGTAGACACCTATACACAGGGAGCTGAAAAATGCGGGTAGCCTGGTAGCCTCAACTGGGACTCTGTTTACAGGATGACAGTCCTGTCTTTACACAGACAAGGCATGGAAGGTGGTTGGTGACCGTTTTCTGAGTCCTGCCTCGTGCAGAAGGCACAGGGTTGGAGCCAGGATAAAGCAATATAACATCTTAACTTGACTTTCCTGTATCACTATCAGGTCTAGGTGAGCCTAGGTGTCAGTTCCCCTAACTCCCTCCAGATGGCGTCATCTCATTTTCTGTGAGCCTGAACTAACCACTCCAGCTACAGACTTGCCATCGACTGGCCGCCCGTGCAGGTGAGTGTGGACACGAGGGCACCAGCCCGGTATCCTTCTTAAGCTACTTTAGGCAATCCCAAGGCCACTCCCTTCCTTGGCAAGTGACTCCCTCTCTGCGTCTGGACAGTCCCTTGGCTCATGTGTCAACCCTGCGCCCATCTGGGGCTTTCATGGGTGGAGGTGTCTTGTCTGTCAGGAATCAGGTTTTCCTAAAGTCTCCCTCGGGGCTTCTTAGGCTTTGGTGGCAGGAGAAGAAATCCAAGGAGGCCTTTGCAGAGAGGGCTGAATGTTATTTTAAAAAAATAGCCAAAGTCCAAAATGTAAGAAAAGACAAAAATGTGTTGGGAGCGGGAGGAAGTAGAGTGGGGGGAATGAAAGAAATGAAGGACAGAAATGGGAGGAAGGAAAGAAGGGAGGGAGGGAGGGAGGGAGGAAGGAAGGAAGGAAGGAAGGAAGGAAGGAAGGAAGGAAGGAAGGAAGGAAGGAAGGAAGGGGAGAGGGGAAGATGGCCTTTGGGTTGTGCCTTGCGGCCAGTGGAAGCAGAAGAGAGAAGGACTAAGCTACTAAGGATGGGAATGAGGACCAGAAGGAAGCCCTCTCAGGCTAGACGGGGACTTCGAGAGGCACCAGGATCCCTGGCCTAGGCTCCGGGCACCCTCGGGCTCTGCCTTCGTTATCTGTGGTGCACATGGGCTGATACAACTGAATGGCTGCTGGTCCTCTACAGAGGGTGCTTAACCAGGACAGACTTTGTTCTACCCGACATCAGGTCAGGAGCGAGGTGTCTACACAGAACCAAGGTCTCCTGGCACCACTGACGTTTACAGAGTCCGGGATGCTTGCTCATGTGTGGACATGTGTGAGCATGTGCGGACAGGTACGGCGGTCTGTGTGGACACGTGTGGATGTGTGCAGAATCTCAGTCAAAGGTCAAATTCTGGAAAAGGCCCTTGAAGCTTTCTCCCCTCGGACCAGCAATATGCACCGTTCAAAGTCCAACTGACTGATGATGCCTATTGGTACAGGCAGGCAGCCCCCGGTCTCAGCAGGGAGGGAGAACTTTCCCTATCACCGCTTCAGGTATATTCTCCAGATCCACATCCTGTCTGCTGCCCTTCACCGTGCTTGCCACGTTGGCTTGCCAGCCCTGGTGGGGCAGGGCCCCTGTTTGGAGGCAGAATGGTCCTGCTGATCGGTTCTGCCGGGAACCCTCGTCTCTCTGAGTCACTGACTTGTTCGCCTTGACCCACCGGGCTTTCCCAGCAATGGGTCAGACATTCCCCTCTGACCTTCAACAAGAATCCTAGCCCAAGAGCACCTGCCACAGGACGGTCGGGCTGCAAGTCCCTTCCTATTCATCCCCACTATAGATGGAGCAACCCCCCCCCCTGTCTGTAAGAGGGCTGTGATCCAGACTTCCGAACAAGCGTCACCCTTGTGCATCTAAAAGGGGAGCCACAACAGCCAGAGACAAGTGTCCTGATGCCTCCCCCACCCACCACCCACCACCCACCCCCACTGTGCATGTCCAGCGCAATTGAAAGATGCTACACAGTGGTGCCCGGGTCCCTTGGGAGCACAGCCCTATGGTACCATGAGGCTGGAGGCACCAGGGAGAGTTCCCAGGGTGGTGACCCTAAGTAGGCACAAGTGCGTGGTCCAAAGAGCAAAAGACATTCTGCTCTGAAGGACATGTCTCCTTAATTAGAAGACAGCACCTGACCTAGAGCAAGAGGCAGCTGGGACAGGGGCCAGCTTCCTCATCACCAGCTTGAAGACATTTGTCACACCAGGGTTGTTGTCTCAAAGGACAGAATGTATTTTCTGGGGATTAAGGATCCCAATGTGGGGGGGTTGGTAAACAAGTGGTTTCTGGTGTACCTCCAAAGGCAAGGAGAAAAGCATACAGCCATCAGAGCAAGGAGGGACCTTACCTGGATGTTCCTGGGCTCTGGGCTGGGTGTCACACACCTGCAAAGAAAGATCATGGGGTAAGTATGGGGATATCCTCCACAGACATATCCCAGCTGCCTTTGGTGGCCTGGGGCATTACCTGGAAGCTGCAGAAAGACCAGAGTAGCCAGGCCCAGCGGCAAGGCAGTGCCGGCAGATCCCTCATGGTGGGAACCAGGCGGTGGGATCCCCCACAGCCTGCAGGGAGCCTCTCTACCTCCAGCTTCCCGAGGACAAGGACATCTTCATCACAGGTTGTCTGGTCACCAAGTCTGTCCCCTAAAGTTTGTGTCGTATTAAGGGCCTGAGAGCAGTTGGGGCGATTCTCCTCTCCGAACTGGAGTCTTCAGGGACCCGAAGGCTGGATGCAGCGCTGGGTTGAGTGAGCACTTCTCCTTAGATCCACCAGAGTTCTCCAAGCTCCTGGCTGCTGCTGGGCAGGCCAGGGCCTCCTCCGGGTGCCTGTAGGCTCAGGAGTCCGTGTCCTGGGCCTGGGACTGGCAGGCACTTGCCTCCCGTCTCAAGTCGGAGCTCAGAGCTCAGCTCATGGCCTGGAGCTCAGTGATGTCTCTGCCGCCTCCTTCTGCAGCTGAGCTCCGCCACACCTCGTTGGCCCAGAGTCCAGGCCGTGGCTTTGGGTGGGGAGCCAGAGTGATGTCAGCGGGCCTCAAACTTTGTTCGCCTCTATTTATATCCGTCCCACTCTGGCCTTTCCTGGGTCCTAACACCAGTCTGTTAGGAACTGCTGAGCCCTTCCCAGGACTTTCCCATCCAAAGGTGGCCAGACAAGTCCAGGCTGTGTGTGTATGTGTGAGGGGTGAGAATGTGATGGGGGTGGGGGTAAGAGAGTGTGTGTGTAAATGTGGAAGAGGTTTGTGAGGGTGAGAATGTGTGTGAGTGTAGTGGGGGAGTGTAAGTATTTGGAGTGAGAAAGTGTGTGTAGGTGTGTGTGTAGGGGTGTGTGTGTGTATGTGTGTAAGTGTATGTGTGAGTATTGGAGGTGCAAGCATGTGGGTACTGAAGGATAGTGTAGGTGGGTATGGGAAGTAAGCATAGGTGTAAGTGAAGAATGAAGAGTGGGGTGAAAGTGCAGGGGTGTGACAGTGTGGAGGTAGGTGTGAGCAAGTGTGTGAGTATGTGGATGGTAGGGAGATGCAGGTGTCAGGAGTATGTGTGGAGTGTGGGTGAGTGTGGGTCTATGTATGTTAAGATATCTTCTGCTCGGTGCTTTCCTAGTCACTATGTGCTTGTGAGTGCTTGTGATGTGCACAAGTGTGTGTGTGTGTGTGTGTGTGTGTGTGTGTGTGTGTGTGTGTGTGTTCCTATAGATGTGGGGGGAGTGGGATGTGAGAATGTCTGCATGTGGTGTGTGTATATTCTGTGGACATGTGTGAGTGTGGCCATGTAGGCATGCAAGGTATGTGTGGGGATGGATGGATATGAGTAAGTGTGGGTATGAGTGTAGATGAGTGTGGGTGTGTTGGTGTGTGGGTATACATAATCAGGGCATATTCTCAGCAGCACCCTCAAAGTCTCATTAGTATTAATAAGTACATGGGGCCAGAGAGTTGTCTCAGTAATTAAAAAGCACTTACCGCCGGGCGGTGGTGGCGCACGCCTTTAATCCCAGCACTCGGGAGGCAGAGCCAGGCGGATCTCTGTGAGTTCCAGGCCAGCCTGGGCTACCAAGTGAGCTCCAGGAAAGGCGCAAAGCTACGCAGAGAAACCCTGTCTTGAAAAAAAAAAAAAAACCAAAAAATAAAAAAATTAAAAATAAAAAAATAAAAAGCACTTACCGCTATTGGAGAGGACCTGGGTCCAGTACCCAGCGCTCACATCAGGCAGCAGCTCACAACCGTCTGAAGCTCCTCCAGTTCCAGGAGATGCCACAGCCTCCTCCAGCCTATTCATCCAACAGCCTCTCCTGGCCTACTCGGACACCTAGACACACATGATGCACATAAACTCACGTAGCCTCACACACATACACATAAGTAAAAATACTAAACCCTTAAGAAACAATGTTAAGGGCTGGGGAGATGGCTCAGTGGTTAAGAGCACTGGCTGCTGTTCCAGAAGACCCAGGTTCAGTTCCCAGCACCCACGGGGCAGCTCATACCTGTCTGTAACTCAGTTCCAGGGAATCTGACACCTTTACACCAGTGCACAAAAAATAAAATAAAATTATTTTTTAAAAAAAGAAACAATGCTAATAAGCACGAGTGTAGTTGTGGATGGGTGTGACTCAGTGCCTTGTGAATATGCATGAATTGCAGGCTCATTCCCATTGGCACCCTCAAAATCTCTATCAGTATTAGTAAGCACAAGCATGGATTAAACCGGGAACTCCGCTAGGATCCGGGTCTGCTCGAGCATGGGAAAACAGTGATTATGCACACAAAAGAAAGGAGGCATCGGAGTCAGGAGACGCTGCCAGCTGCCGCCATGTATACCAACATGTAAGATACTGGTAAGCCACGAGCCACGTGGCATAGATTTATAGAAATGGGTTAATTTAAGATGTAAGAACTAGATAGCTAGAAGCCTGAGCCATTAGGCCAAATAATTTAAAAAAAAAAAAAAAAAAA